CCAATTAGGTTTCCAGGGACATCACTAAATCCATAGCTTTTCTTCTGATTCTCCTGTATTTCAGTTTAATTGGATGACCTTTTTAAGAGGGAGGTGAAGCAGCGCTTTCTTCTCTGACACCATGCATAAATTAATCTGTAGGTTTAGTAGCAATGGCTGCAAATTTGAACTACTTGAGATCCACTGCTCTTTCTGTATAGATAGAGAATTTATTATTGAAGTTTGTACTGTTTAGCCCTTCTCTGTATCCTTAGTTGTGGGTGCTATTGTGATATCTATTCAACTCTGAACACTCTAATACAGTGGACTAGAGACTCAGACACTGATCTGCAGTAATATGTTAATGAAATATGCCCTTTGGAGAAAGCGTTGAAGTACAAATAGCATTACCATTCCATATTGCTTCCGCTTTTGTCTCCTTTCGGATGCTGTCTCCTAATCAGAGCTATGGATATTGGGACATCTAATACCATGGAAGGATTTGGTCCAGAGATGTTCTTCATAGCAGAAGTTCCCATACTGTGGTCTGCAAGCTTCATTCAAGTGGTCTGTGAAGAACCATTTGAATTATATAAAAGTCCATGAATTCAGATTGTAATACAATAGAATACAATGTAAGAAATAATACAATTCAATAGCATGCAGCATCTAGCGCTGGTCTCATTGCAACTGCTTCAACCGGCAGAAAACAAAATCATCAAGATCCTCAGCAACTTTCAAATGGTCCGTGGAAGGGAGAGCATATGGGAACCACTGTTTTATAGGTTATTTCTACTTTCTATCAATGATTAATGTGTGCGGGTGGGGGGGAATATTTGGTAAAAAGAGGGAGAACAAATATCTGACATGCATCTTTTAGATAAAATATTACATCTTTCAGAAGAGTTACTGTTCAATTCCATACTCAAAAGTAAGTTGCACTAAGTTCAAGGAAGTTCCTCTTAAACAGGGAAGTGAATATATGCTTGCAACCTGGCATATATACATGAAAATACATTTTGATCATGCTCTGTTAATATAGCTATTGTCAGTGCTTTTTCTGGGGGGACACAGGGGCACACATACCCCTAAACATTTTGTGAATCTAAGTTTGGCCTCATTGAGGGGCAGTATTTCAATATGAGTAGGGGAAAACTGAGAGTACCCCTAAACATTTTTTTTAGATAAAAAAAAGCACTGGCTATTGTTATATAATAGCTATGTGTCTTTAGCACATAGAGTTTGCTTATCTGTTGCCAGTTTTGGATTGTTTTATTGCTGCTTATTCAGTCTATAGTTAGTGATTCGAGTTAATTGTCACAATCACATGTTGGTTGAAAATCAGCACCTGTATGGTTTAGCAAATAAACAAATCACCGTTTTAGCAAACAAGCAGTGTTAAAACTCACTCATCTGTTGATTTTCAGCATTGTTGTAAGGATTATTCAGTCTTCCCTGCATACACAGTCTCTTACTCCCTTCAGAAAAATAAAGCACCACTAGATGTTACACTGCCCACTTTTAAATCTTTGTTGATCTGGGGAGGTGCCGAAGCTCAAGTGGGAGAAGACATGATTTGTGTACAGAAGGATCCAGGTTCTATTTCCACTTAAAAAGAACTCAATGAATACGCTGTTTCCAACTTGAACTCCCTTGACCATTGCAATGCTGGCTGGAGTGAATGGGAATTGTAGTCTAAAGCATTTGGAAGACAAGTTGGGGAAAGCTTTTGAAGATAATATGGGGCTAGAATATATCTTTTGTGAAACATTTTATATTTCAATGAATTTTCTACTGTCTAGTCTAGGTAGGTAGGAAGAGCTTAAAAGGTAAAGGGACCTCTGACCATTAGGTCCAGTCGTGGACGACTCTGGGGTTGCGGCGCTCATCTCGCTTTATTGGCTGAGAGAGCCGGCGTACAGCTTCTGGGTCATGTGGCCATCATGACTAAGCCGGTTCTGGCGAATCAGAGCAGTGCACAGAAACGCCGTTTACCTTCCCACCGGAGCAGTACCTATTTATCTACTTGAACTGGTGTGCTTTCAAACTGCTAGGTTGGCAGGAGCAGGGACTGAGCAACGGGAGCTCAGCTCGTCACGGGGATTCGAACCGCTGACCTTCTGACTGGCAAGTCCTAGACTCTGTGGTTTAACCCACAGCGCCACCTATGTCCCATGGGAAGAGATTAGCCCTTTCCTAATAGATTCCTTTAGCGTTCTCTACTGCTCTTTCCCTCTAGGTTGATTTTGAATGGAATATCAAGCAGTCTTTGAGCTATGGGAGAAAGGTAGAATCACAGAATTGTAGAATTGCAAGGGACTATGGGGGCCATCTATTCCAACCCTCTGCAATGCAATTTGCCCAACATGGGGTTTGAACCGACGACTCTGAGATTATGAGTCTGCTGTCAGAACCACAGTTCAGTCCTGAGCTGCTGTATATACTGTTACAAAAGTGGGGTGCCTCCCGCACTCTCTGCCAAACGGTGGCAAGAATTCATGGGGTTCCAGACACTCACCCAGGGTCTATGTTCCTCTGGTGAATTGAGACACAGTGGAGACTATCGTAGCTTTAAAAAATATGGCCCTCAATTGTTTCTTAATGGCCCGAGCTTGGCCAGGTCATTTTGAATAGCCTAATCCAGGAATTCCCCTACAGCTTATCTTTCCTCCTTCACACCCCAAATAATCAAAATCCTACTATTTATTAATTTCTAGGGTTTAGGGGGTCCCCCAATCTATAACAATACTATTATTTTAATAATTGAGTGCCTGAGGATCCAGCTGTGGGAGTAAATCTCATTAAATTCAGTATACCTTATGTGCCGGTCCCGGGGGGGGGGGTTTACCGTGAGGTGTGGTCAAAGTCCGGTCCTGGGCCAAGGGTCTGGAGACTGTCCACCAAGGGGGAAGTGGGGTCCAAAGCAAGAAGCAGGGCGTGGTCGGGAACTCCGGAAAAAGAGGTCTGGGTGCTGGCAGAAACAGGTTTCCAACGTTGTTGCTCCCACAACCTGAGACTGGGCTGACTGGCCTTTATCTCCTCTGAGGCCAGGGGCAGTCCCGGCCCACAGGTGACCCACCTCTCCTGGCTTTAAGGCGAGCACTCCTCCTGAGAGAACTTAGTTCCCTCCGCCTCTCTGCCCTGAGCCTCAGCAGCTCCGGAGAGGCTGGAGGGTTACTTGACCCAGGGGCAGCTTCACCTTCCCCTGACAGGGCTGGGAGAGGAGCACCTGCAGGCAATGGGTCCTCAATCACCTCTGGAGCCAGAGTGAATACATCTGGTGTCTGCTCCTGAGGATCCGGCACAGGTGCGGGCCCTTCAGATTCAAGCACCTGCCCCAGCTCAGCCGGCCCTGGAGGCGGGGACTCCTGTGCAGGCTGGGATTCCTCAGATTCAGCTTCTGAATCAGATTCCCAGGCCATCACACCTTACCTCTGAATACACACGTATAGGATTGCTCTGTTACTACAAGGTGCTACAACTGTATTGCAGTTTTCACCAGTAGCAAGCTGCCCAGTATATCCCACTGAGTTTAATTGAACTTAAAACATCTCAGGAACAAAATATGCAATCTTTGTGTTAATGAAAGTAAGTAGGCTCCACAAATCTTCCAACTTGGGAGATTCACTATTTGGAGTTTTGGGAGCTGGAAGCCAGCAATGACCCTTGCTCTTAAATCTACATTTCTTCCACGAGAGAAAAATGGTGGGCTTACCTGAGAGAGAATAAAGACTGCAAAGTGTTTCTAAGTCCCTCCTAGGAGAATGATGTCTTAAGTAGGGTGTTAAAGATATGTTTAATATGCATAAAATGTAATGTTTGTATGTGTTGTGCTTGAAAAGATTTTGCAAAGAGAAGGTTGCATTAGACATGGATGTTTCACTCTGACAAATGCGGCAGGAGAGGTTGAATGTTTCCATCTCAGTCTTTAGGCTAATTGATGAGTCATCCCGGAAACCCGAGCTGCAGATCTGTCACAGCAGAAAGTGTTGTCCTGAGTTGCAGACACATATACATTATGATTGGAAGAAGGTGTGCGTAAATGACAAGGCCAGAAAGAGATGAAAGGTAGACTGTCTCGCTAACTATTCACAAAACCAAAAATTAATAACACAGACATCCTGGCATTACTAAGACAATTAAAGTGTAGTATGATAAAAATAAAATAAAAGTGATGTGTCAACTGCAGAGTTGGTACATATAAGCACATGTGGTGGGGCTGCTCAAAGGTGACTAAATTTTGGAATAAGTTGTTCACTGATATCACTTTGATAACTAAACATACTGTGACTCCACTTTTCCACCTAGTTCTTTTGAATCTGTATATGGAAACAGAAGAGGACGTGAAAAGCAAATAATTTAACTCGCATCATTTAACAACAGCCCAGGCTAGTACTGCAGGCTTTGGCAAATTGCCCTCTTTGAAAATATCTCTCATAAACTAAAAGTATCTAATGAACAGTGATTGAGTAACCCCCCCCCCAATATGGCATAATTTTATTTGTTAAATAAGTATTGAGGCACACAGTCTTTCAGTGTCATCAGTATATGCGAACATCTGACTCATTTAAGACTTTATAGAACCTTTATTCCCAATAGTGATGGAACTCACAGGTGGATAATACTTTTGTTTTTATATATCTTTTTGTTTCTAAAGGGAATTTTTGTAAGAGTTAATACTTTACCATCCCTTTGAAACTATGCTGTATCTTTGTACTTTTGTCTTTCCAGGGTGTGACATGTTTATTATTATTATTATTATTATTTGTTTTTCCCCTTTTACCTAGGTTTAAACAAATTCACTAAAATCTTGATCATTATTTTTTTTAAATGTTGCAGTGCAGTCCAGAGAGATAAAATGAAACCTCTTGATGCAAGATTTTCTTTAATTGCTTGACAACTGTAGCAGAAATAATATTATTGCAAAGTACACCTACTTTTGTAGCAACTTATATTTGTTACAATAGCATACAACAGCATGAACTTAAAAAAAGTAGCCCACTCTGGAATCAATTTCTCAATCAACAAAGCTTGTGCTGTAACAGAATTTTGACCAAGGCCCCTTTCATGTCTTTGTTCCTCAGGCTGTATATCATGGGATTGAACATGGGGGTGAATATGCTATAGAAGAGAGAGACTATTTTGTCCAAATCTGCGGAGTGACTAGACTCTGGCCTCATGTACATAAATATGGCGCTGCCATAGAAAAGCACCACCACTGATATGTGAGAGACACAAGTAGAGAATGCTTTGTGCTGGCCTTGGGCAGATTGGATTTTCAAGACGGAAGCCAGGATGCGGATGTAAGTCATCAAGATAAAGGAGATGGGGATAAGCAAGGTGAAAATGCATCCCACCGAAGTGACCTTTTCAACCATCTTGGTATCGGCACAGGCCAACTTCAGCAATGCTGGCATTTCGCAGAAAAAGTGATCAATCAGATTGGGACCACAGAATGGCAACCGCCAGGTGAGGACTGTGTGTGCCACTGGAAATAAAAGGCCACTCATCCAGGTTGCCACAGCTAGCTTCATGCATACTCTCTTGTTCATGAGGAACGTGTAGTGCAGTGGGTGGCATATTGCCACATACCTATCATACGCCATCACTGCCAGGAGGATGCACTCAGTAATAGCCAGGGTCAGAAAAATGTGCATCTGAACAGCACAGCCAACCAATGAGATGGTTTGTCTTGGGCTCTGTAGGTTCACCAACATCTGGGGGACTGTGCTGGATGTATAGCAGATGTCCACAAAGGCAAGGTGGCTCAGGAAGAAGTACATGGGCGTGTGGAGTTGGGGGTCTAGCCAGATGAGCATCAGTATCATTGAGTTGCCCACCAGAGTGATGGTGTAGGTCACAGAAAAAAGCCCAAACAGCAAAAGACGGATCTTCAGGCTCTTCGAGAGACCAAGCAGAAGGAATTCAGCCACAAATGTTTGGTTCCGCATAGCAGCTTCCTAGTCTCATTTCCTATACAAAAGAAGGAGATGAAACCTGTCACCTGGGCTTGTGTGTCTGAAGTGGAGAATATTACTCACTCTCAGTGCGATAAACATGAAATGGGTTAATATCTGAGATGATTCCTGTTCTGTCTTAGTTTGGATTAAATAAACTTACAAAATATCATTTATTTCTACATGTACCGTTATCTTTTCCCCTTAATAATAGAGTTGGGACAGTCGTCCCCCCCCCCCAGCAATTTTTCTTTTTGGGGGAGTGGGTGTCCCTGATCATTGGGATTGGGCAAATTTCTTTCTGGCCTGTGGAGAGCTTCACCATGGCAATAAGCATCTAGGTACGCGGGTGGTGCTGTTGGTTAAACCACAGAGCCTAGGACTTGCCAATCAGAAGGTCGGCAGTTCGAATCCCCGTGATGGGGTGAGCTCCCGTTGCTCGGTCCCTGCTCCTGCCAACCTAGCAGTTCAAAAGCACAAAGTGCAAGTAGCTAAATAGGTACCGCTCCAGCAAGAAGGTAAATGGCGTTTTCGTGCGCTGCTCTGGTTCGCCGGAAGTGGCTTAGTCATGCTGGCCACATGACCCGGAAGCTGTACGCCAGCTCCCTCGGCCAGTAAAGCGAGATGAGTGCCGCAACCCCAGAGTTGGTCATGATTAGACCTAATGGTCAGGAGTCCCTTTATCTTTACCTTTAGGGTTTTCTTAATCACATTTTAAAATGACAAGGTTTTCTCATGATGCCCTTACAGTCTCATTTCTGAACAAAAAGAATAGCATGATGCTTGCATTTAAATTAAGGGAATGAAAAGTATTGGGCATACTTATCATCAATAGACTCTTATGAAGACAATAGCCCTCCTCCATGGGTGCACTAACATGTTAAGGAGGTGGTAGAGTCATACCTCTAACCCTGCATGAGATGCTGTATGTCTGGTCTTGGAGCTTGATGCATCAGGTGAAGTGTCTGCAGAAGGGAGCCTACATGGGTAGAATTAGCTCCATGCTATTTGGAGCACTGCATTATCAGAGTTCCCAACTGCATGGAAGATACACACATAGGCTTCCCTTTGCATACATCATTCTGAACATATGGGGCAAGTGGAACATGTTAGTTCAGGGATGGCACCAGCAGGCACTTCTTCACTTCTTCCAGCACATGTAATAATGTAAATGCGGAGGAGATCATCTAATGAAGAGGGATCATACCTGTAAGAGATCTTTTACTCTATTGTAAACATACACAAGGTATAGGATGCAGTACAAGTTGCAATACCCAAGGAGGATTGGCTTGTTCACCTGTAATGACAAAAATATAATCCACTGTTATCACTGTTTACACCTAGTGCTTTCAAGAGCAGGTGATGCTGGAAATTAATTTGAACTGGGCTTCAAAGCAACGCAGCCCCACAACCTGGCTCTCATTTCTGGAATGAGAGAGATTAATAGAGAGAGATAGAAATGGCTGATAGTTATCCAGAGCTGGATGGAAAAGCAGGCTTCCCAATCACACAGAAAGAGGTCTGACATGTAAAATGGTATGTGTGCAGGCTTTGTTCAGAAACTGAACACTTTTGGGGGCGGGGAGGAATTAAAACATTCATTATTTTGAGAATATAATTGTTATATTCTCACTATAGAGCATGAAGGACAAATGTAGAAGCCTTTTAAGAACCTACCTTTTCTTGGCAACTTTATTGATACCATCATAAGAACTGCTCTGAAGGACTAGGCTATGTACGTGTCTGACCTCACTTTCTGTTCCCAACATAAGCCAGATACTATCAGGTTCTCAAAAGCAATGCAGAGTGATGCCCAGCCCTGTCTGTTCCCAACACTGCTTCCATAGAAGAAGTCCATTTAGGTATAATGGCTCATAGATATTGATAGGACTGTCTACCATGAATTTGTCTATTTGCTTAAAAGCAGTCTTCCCCAACTTGGTGCCCTTCAGATGTTTTGGATTACAAACACTTCAGCCCTAACCAGCATCAGGGCTGATGGGAGTTGGAGCCAACAACATCTGAAGCACTCCAGTTTGGTGAAAGCTGGTTTAATGTTGTCTACTTCAGCTGCCTTCATCACCACATCCCATGGCAGTAAATTAAGTTAATTATCTATTTTGTAAAGAAATGTGCTCTTGTGTCTGCCTTGAACCTGTTGCAAATCAGCTTATGACTTAGACCTTTTTAAAAGGTAAAGGTAAAGGACCCCTGACAGTTAAGTCCAGTCGCGAACGACTCTGGGGTTGCGGCGCTCATCTCGCTTTAGTGGCCAAGGGAGCCAGTGTAGAGTTTCTGGGTCATGTGGCCAGCATGACTAAGCCGCTTCTGGCGAAACCAGAGCAGCGCATGGAAACGGCGTTTACCTTCCCGCCGGAGTGGTACCTATTTATCTACTTGCACTGGCATGCTTTCGAACTGCTAGGTTGGCAGGAGCAGGGACTGAACAACGGGAGCTCACCCCACCGCGGGGATTCGAACTGCCGACCTTCCGATCGGCAAGCCCAAGGCTCAGTGGTTTACACCACAGCGCCACCCCTGTCCGTGCCTTTTAAATTGCTATTATTTCAGACGCAGAATGGCAAACACAATTTATTAGTTTTCTGTGGTTCATTAACATTATATATTAAAGCAAAACCATTAAAAATATTTTTTAAGTGTACACTCCATTCAGGAGTACACTGGGGAAAGTTATAAGCACAGCCAGAAAAGAAATGAAAACACTGAAGGAAGTAGTTGGCTTGGAAAGTGCAGTATCTAAAATTACCATTGTTACACCCACATGGAAACAGCGAAACAGCGAAACAAAATCTGTGGTCCCAAGCGGAGCACATTTCCCCCAGTTTTCCCCAAATTTAGCAGATTAAACTCAAATTTATAGAGGGAGAGCATCAAGATGTGCAGTCTTTGAGGGTAATGTCGTGCAAACTATGTTTTTGTGCAGTAAACTCTGATATGGACAAACCCCAAGTATAAGACAGGGATTTTAAAATACACTGTTATGCACAGATACTTATGAATGGGTCTCACTGGACTCAGTGGGACTTGCTTTCCAGTAACTGTGTATACAATTGCATGGCATGCAACAAAGAGGAATAGACATATTTTTTTACTAAAACTCTCTGCGTTAACTCTACTGTGTTGATGAAAAACAACGCTGTTGGTAAGCAGGATATAAATATCATGAACAGAAAATAGTATAAACAAAACTCTGCAGTATCACATGAAATGCATGAGCATACGCAGAGAATGATTATATCACTCTGCTTTGGAAGTTATAATGCTCATGATGTTAGGGTCACAGTGCATGTGAGACCACCCTGAATGTGGGATAAAGCTAAAGCCATTATAGAATCAATTTTAGAATTAGCTGTTCAGAAACATTTCGTGAAACTTGGAGCAAAGATCAAATGGGACAAATGTTTATTAGTCTAAGACTATTTAAATGCATACAATTAGACATTCTTATACAAGATTCTAACATATATAACGCAGCGTTGCATTGATCTCCCGTTCTTGCTATTTTTCATCCTTAAGTTTCCCCTGTTGCTGCCGTAGTCTAACATGTCACCGGTAATTTTTGTGGGATATACTTTATGTATAAAGCTTACGTGTAATATTTGAGATTTATTAAATGACAAAAGAGGCAGAGAGAGAATAACGAGAGAGAAAAGGAACTCGCATCCCACCAACAGTAAGAGCTGTTCGACAGTGGAATTTGCTGCCAAGGAGTGTGGTGGAGTCTCCTTCTTTGGAGGTCTTAAAGCAGAGGCTTGACAACCATATGTCAGGAGTGCTCTGATGGTGTTTCCTGCTTGGCAGGGGCTTGGACTCGATGGCCCTTGTGGTCTCTTCCAACTCTATGATTCTATGATTCTATGAAAATGTTTCCTCTCGCCTTTCTGGTTTGCAGTAACAGCCCAACAGCAAATTGTATGTGTTTAATAGTTTCCTGGTCCATTCCCTTTGAAAAAAAAGGAAAGAACCTCTGCACAAGGGAACAATCAGAAGTGGAGAAGCAATGGGGGGGGGGGAGGAAGTGCCCAGCCCTTTCCCTGCCCATCATTCCTCCACTTCAATTGACTCCCAATAACACCCCCCCCGGCTTATGGAGGGATTTGGAGATGGGGAAGTGGAGACAGCGTTGGCTGGTTCGCAAGAGTCCTTTGGTCCCACTTCCTCTTCCTGTCTGCATTTCATGAAATCAGGCAGCCTGTGTTTGGTCCTAGACAGTGTGTGTTTTTTTCTGGGGGGACGCAGGGGTACACATACCCCTAAACATTTTGTGAGTCTAAGTTTGGCCTCATTGAGGGGCAGTATTTCAATGAGAGTGGGACGCGGGCAGCGCTGTGGGTTAAACCACAGAGCCTAGGACTTGCCGATCAGAAGGTCGGCAGTTTGAATCCCACAATGGGGTAAGCTCCCGTTGCTCGGTCCCTGCTCCTGCCACCCTAGCAGTTCGAAAGCACATCAAAGTGCAAGTAGATAAATAGGTACCACTCTGGCGGGAAGGTAAACGGCTTTTCCGTGTGCTGCTCTGGTTCGCCAAAAGTGGCTTAGTCATGCTGGTCATGACCCGGAAGCTGTACGCCGGCTCCCTCGGCCAATAAAGCGAGATGAGCGCCGCAACACCAGAGTCAGTCACAACTGGACCTAATGGTCAGGGGTCCCTTTACCTTACCTATTTCAGTGAGAGTACCCCTAAACATTTTTTTAAGGGAAAAAAGCACTGGTCCTAGGAAAGTTGTTTACCTGGATACGTCAGACATATGATGCTAGGGTGGCACCACTCCAGGGTGAGAGACATCATCTGAGATGCAGCTATTATCAGGTCAGTTTAGCTCACAGGATGTTCCAGGAAATGAAGTAGAAGATGCTATATACACCCATTCCTTACTGAACCTGTTTATTTGAAACAGAAATAGCTATTTGCTACAAAATTCCTCAGAGGTCTTGTCCCAAACTCCCTTTTAAAGTATTTTTGAACTGAGCACCAAATCCCACGATATGTATGTTCCCTAGTGCAATATTGTTTGTCTGAGTATTAAGGAGGTAATCAGATAGGGAGGAGTATCACAAAATTGCAGAGTTGGAAGGGATCCCAGGATCCACCCCACCTCCCTGCAGTGAAGGCATCTCAACACATGGTCCCCCATACTGGACCTTGCGTGGCTTTGCAAATGTGCTAGCCATTTTATTGCTGCACCGTTAGGAGGTCCATGATGTCATCTGGACACTTAACAAGCTCAGAAAATTTTGGGATGGTCAGCATTGGTTCTCCTTGTAGTCTTCTGTTCCTTGAGCTTTTAACAAATAATTTGGTCAAAGCTTCCAATCTTTATTGCTGCAAGAAATGAGCAAGATTTTGGGTTTGGTCAAGTGATTATTCAGCACAGGGTTTCTAGAAGAATAGTCCAAAGCTAGTTAAATGAAACATGGGTTCTCATGTTAATTGTTTTAACATGGGTTTCGGTAGGAAAACTAGTTAATATAATATAATAAATTATTCTAAGAGAGCATATTATGTTTAATACTGTTTTTATTATCTGTTCTTGTTCTTGTTTTATGGAATACCGTGTCCAATTCTGGGCACCACAATTTAAGAAGGATGTTGACAGGCTGGAACGTGTGGAGAGGAGGGAAACCAAGATGATCGAGGGTCTGGAAACTAAGCCTTACTAGGAGCACTTGAAGCAGCTGGGTATGTTTAGCCTGGAAAAGAGGAGACTGAGAGGAGATAGGATAGCCATCTTCAAATATTTCAAGGGTTGCCACATGGAAGAGGGAGCAAGCTTGTTTTTTCCTGCTCTGGAGGGTAGGACTCAAACCAATGGCTTCAAGCAACATGAAAGGAGACTTCCTGAGGGTAAGAGCTCTTCAACAGTGGAACGGTCTCCTTCACGAAGGTGTGGACTCTCCTTCCTTGGAGGTTTTTAATCAGAGGTTGGATGGCCATCTGTCATGGATGCTGAAATATACTCGGAGTCGAGAGTGGATTTCATGCTCTTTATTCAGCTCATAGTGGTGAGGAGGAATCAAAGTTCCCCAACAATATCTGCTTTATATACAATATTTACACAATGGGCCCCACGTGATTGGCTAATTCCGGGATTCTCCTGTAGGCCAATCAGGTTGTGGATTCACATCCACCTGGAGCTGGATTGGGTGGCTCCTGCAGACCAATCATACTGCTGCATTCTGAATCCTATTGTTCTAGGACCAGTCAGACTGCTGCATTTTGGATCCTATTCAACTCAGTACATAACAGATGCTTTAGCTGAGATTCCTGCATTGCAGGGGGTTGGACTAGATGATGAAGAAGAAGAGTTTGGATTTGATACCCCACTTTATCACTACCCGAAGGAGTCTCAAAGCGGCTAACAATCTCCTTTCCCTTCCTCCCCCACAACAAACACTCTGTGAGGTGAGTGGGGCTGAGAGACTTCAAAGAAGTGTGACTAACATCTTTATCAACGACTTGGATGATGGACTCAAGGGCATCCTGATCAAATTTGCAGATGACACCAAACTGGGAGGGGTGGCTAACACCCCAGAGGACAGGATCACACTTCAAAACGACCTTGACAGTTTAGAGAACTGGGCAAAAACAAACAAGATGAATTTTAACAGGGAGAAATGTAAAGTATTGCACTTGGGCAAAAAAAATGAGAGGCACAAATACAAAATGGGGGACACCTGGCTTGAGAGCAGTACATGTGAAAAGGATCTAGGAGTCTTGGTTGACCACAAACTTGACATGAGCCAACAGTGTGACGCGGCAGCTAAAAAAGCCAATGCAATTCTGGGCTGCATCAATAGGAGTATAGCATCTAGATCAAGGGAAGTAATAGTGCCACTGTATTCTGCTCTGGTCAGACCTCACCTGGAGTACTGTGTCCAGTTCTGGGCACCACAATTCAAGAAGGACACTGACAAACTGGAACGTGTCCAGAGGAGGGCAACCAAAATGATCAAAGGCCTGGAAACGATGCCTTATGAGGAACGGCTAAGGGAGCTGGGCATGTTTAGCCTGGAGAAGAGGAGGTTAAGGGGTGATATGATAGCCATGTTCAAATATATAAAAGGATGTCACATAGAGGAGGGAGAAAGGTTGTTTTCTGCTGCTCCAGAGAAGCGGACACGGAGCAATGGATCCAAACTACAAGAAAGAAGATTCCACCTAAACATTAGGAAGAACTTCCTGACAGTAGGAGCTGTTCGACCGTGGAATTTGCTGCCAAGGAGTGTGGTGGAGTCTCCGTCTCTGGAGGTCTTTAAGCAGAGGCTTGACAACCATATGTCAGGAGTGCTCTGATGGTGTTTCCTGATTGGCAGGGGGTTGGACTCGATGGCCCTTGTGGTCTCTTCCAACTCTATGATTCTATGATTCTATGGCCCAAGGTCACCCAGCAGCTGCATGTGGAGGAGCAGGGAATCGAACCCGGTTCCCCAGATTAGGAGACTGCCGCTCTTAACCACTACACCACACCACCTTGGGTCCCTTCCAACTCTACGATTCTATAATTTACACCATTTGTTTCAACGTGATCCCAATAATAAAAACACAAATACAGAAATACAACATTAATTCTTACTCAATCTGCTCCTTTTTCTTCTTTTCCTTTTTTGCCAATTAATTTTTATTGAGTTTCAATTATTTATTTTTAACAATTTAACTTCAAATTTAATACAAATCTAAAAGAATTTTTGTAAGTTGACTTCCCACCCTTCCTCCCTTGTCCTTCAATTCCCCCCCTTTCTTGCTGCATTATATAATCTGCTCCTTTTCAATACATTTGCAATTAGCCTTAACATGCCAACCCCTTTCTCCACCAAAAGCCAAGATAAACTGGGTGCATACACATTCAGGGGTCCATGGAACTTTTGTAGCAACATGGGCTGGCCAAAGACAGGACAACACTGGGCGGATGTTGCAGTAAACCCTGGGGAAGGCAACAGTGACCTTGGATGATTGTTGCCTGATGGGGGGGGGGAGAGATTGGTGCTGAGGATCCTGGGGAGAGATTTCTTTCAATATCCTCCCACGCCCTGTCAGTCATGGCATGCCCTTCAACATTCCTCTGACGAAAATAGAGACATTTCTCACTTCCTACCAACTGACCATCCTTGACCCCCCGCCCCATTTTGTCCCCTTCCTGCAGAGCATTTCCACCACCACCGCACCAACAGGACACAGCACACACACCCTCCGTCATCCTGAGAAAACCATTTAATCCTGATTTTATTTCATGGTAGATTTACAAAAAGAAAAACACACGCCAATAAACAATTTTTAGAAAGGGGCAAAATTAGACATGGACATGTCAGGAGGTCCTACAGACGAGGAGGCATCCGACATTTGGTTATGGGCCCAGAGGATCGGGACCACAAAGGACAGCAGGCTCAGTGCCAGCAGAAAGGTCCGGGAGCTGTTTTTGTCCTGGTTGGAGTCTCCTGGAACTA